GGCAGCAGCAGCAGCAGCATACCCAACGCCGCGGCAGCAGCAGCCGCAGCAGACCACCCAGCGCCAGCAGCAGCAGCAGCAGACGACCCGGCGCCTGCAGAGCACCCAGCGCAGCAGCGCCCAGCGCAGCAGCGGCAGCAGCAGCACCAGCAGCAGCAGCACCAGCAGCAGACCACCGGAAGCCCGGCTAGCTTTCGTTCACCCCCTCTGGCCTCAAGTTGGTGTGTTTGAAAGAAATGCTTCAGGTTTGCCTCCATCATTTCATGCCTAGACTCGCAGCACAGGCATCGACATTTTGCTGGGCTTCGCCAAGAGGCGGAGCCGGTGGCAGTCGACGTGGTGGTCCATCCGTCGGGCAGTCCGTTGGAGTCCCGACCGGATAGGATTGACAGATATGTTCTGCAGGATGTCCTGAGCATGGCAATGGCTCCAAACATGTCCTTTTCTTTGTTCGCTTACAGTGATTTCAGAGTAGATGGTGCAATCCCCAAGTTTGGTGGTTTAGATGGACCCCCCATATATAAAACACATCTTGGGGGTTGTGCCATCTACTCTGAAACCACTGTAAGGAGCTGGCTGTTTGCACAGCGGTTCTTCCTTCCTTTTTCCAACAGGGTTTGAGTATCTTTTGGATATGCTTCGACTCCAGTTCAAGAATGTTTGAGATTCCGAGTGCGCTAGGATCTCATCCTATCCTATCCCAATGAGGTTTGGTGGGACTTGGGGTGTTCAACCTTAGTTTAATTTGACTTCATGCACCCGGGATTTCGGGGTCTTGCCCAAGCAGGTCAAGGATCCAAAGTTGACAGTTAGTTAGTTAGAGCCTTTGTTTAATTGTTATTGCTATTTTTTGATCCAAGAGCTTTCTGACATTGCAAATCATAGGTCTTGCACGGATATATAACGGTCTATCCAAGATGCCTTTGTCGAAGAGCGCAAAAAGACATGACATGCTACAGACTCGGGTTTCCGTACCCGGCAGCATCCTGCAACAAACCGAGTTTGGAGTGCACCTTCTGTTTCGTATCTATAGGGATCCAAGTACCTTCTCAGAAGGTACTTGGACCCTCCAAACCTACTTAACAGTGTCTCCAATCACCTTCTGAGAAGGTACTTGGATGATCTTGGATCCCTATAGGGTATTGTTAGTTGTTCCTTTCGAGGCCATCCAGGCTGGGACCACGTTTGTTGGATGGAGGCATGGAGGCCTACAAAAACTCGTTCATCCGGAGCATGTTGAAGACCTCCGCAAGCACTGCATCTACCCGTTCCCGTTCGCTCACCTGTACCTCACCTCGTTTCATCCGATGTGGGGGTTCATCAACCATGATCCCAAACGCTCCAAAGAATCCCTCCAGATCGACCCCAGAGGGATTGGTTCGGTTCGACCCGATTCGACCCTCCAGAGGCTTCGGGTCCAGCGCGTGGGACATCAATACACTCCCGGGAATCATCATGGATGGCTGGATGGCATGGCCACAGCTCCAAACAGGTGTCCACTCCGCGAAACCATGATGACTCCAGGATCAGTCACCAAGTCGTCATGGACCTGCTGCAACCTCCAGAAGTCCTTGGATTCCGAAGCACCTACTAGACGACGACCCCTCCGTGGATGGGGACCCGACTTGGCGCGCCAGGTCCACCGCCTCATCGCTGGAAGGCACCGAGCTTTGGATCGACGCTGCCCCTTGGAGCGAAGCGACGAAGCGCCAGGTGCGACGTGGACGACGACGGCGGAGCGATGGCCGAAGCATCCGGGGGATGGAAGGGATGGGGTGTGTTTGAGGAGCTTTGTGGTGTAAGAAGAACCTACTGAGTAGGAAGCACATGGAAGCCCATTGTCATGTTCAATCTGATTCATTTGGGTTCAACAAGCATTCGAGATGTTCTCAAGGGATCCCCCAAAGTCAATAGTTAGTTTGTTGATGTTTGTTGCAAACGCTGTTCAGTTCATCATGTTGCTTTCACAATATAACTCGTCGATTTAGTAATAGTAGATCAATTCCCAAACTTTGCAGAACCACCGGAGTGAGTTCTGGTGCTTTGGCTGAAATCAACCCACCACGGAATAAGCCGCTACGCGAAGAGTCCCAGGTTTGGGCGGATCATTTGTGCATTTGGGCCGTGCTGATGTGCGGGAGCACAGCGAAGCGGAGAAGCGAAGGGAACGGACTGAAGTGCAGAGCTTTTTGCAGCAAGACGTGCGAAGCAGTTCGACACGATGCCACAATGGTTGTTAATTATACATGCACTTCTTCGGTAGCCGCTAGCCGCTAGCCATTTGGAAGTAGCAGAAGCCAAACTATTTAAGTTGGAAGTGCAGAGCAGTTCTATTTAGCGGGATGGGCCATTTGGAAGCCCCAGGGCCGTCCATGAAGGGCTCGTCCAATCCGCTCTCCAAGGCACCAGTGGATCTTGCAGCGCTATGGCGTCGGCCGCTTCGCAGGGGCATCCCGGATCGGACGGCGCTGGATTGCAGTTGGCGCAGGGCGCTGGAATTCTAGTATAGACTGTTTGATGAATGAACTCTAAATGTTTGATTAATGAACCCCCTCCTACTTACTTGAATGATATTGAATGGTATCTCATATAATTATGGTTATTACTTAGGACATGTTAGGACGATATATGGACTGATTTGATATGGGGGGAGTGGGGCATTATTCGTCACCAGTCTACTCAAATATGTAATCCATGAACGGTTGGGAAGTTCCGTGGAAGCTCAGCCATGGGTCGTCATCGTTCGATGCATGTTTGGGGGGACTTTGCTCAAGAAGCCTTCGGAAGTGGACCAAGACTCGATCTGTTCAAGATATGTGATATATGATTGACCCAGTTTGAGCAGATGGACACATGGTCAATGAAGCCAATAATGGTGTGCCTTCCATGAGTCTATGTGTCTGCAGTTCCTTTCGGAGGTGGAGTGTTCTTCGGCTAGCGGCTAGCATCACCTGACCTGTCAACAATCTTAAAGATCCCTGATTACACAAACTCCATTAGAGCCAATCAGAGAATGTGAGCCTTGAAGGTCATGAAACACAGATGGCTGTCATCATCCCAGTTGGATTTCGAGCAAATGATTTTCAAAGCTTGTCATTGATATCATGAGCCATGCCCAACAGATCAAGTGCCACGGACTTTGGCCAACCAGCAAGAACAAGAGCAACCAACCCTTTTGGCCCACGTGAAGGAGACACTGTTTCCTTGGTGCAGAGTGTGGGGTTTATGTAACGTTGTCTTTTTTTGTGAAAAGCCATGGCTTGAAAGGAATAGTTAAATGGCCAACATGTTTGCCCTCCAGCAGATCCTGAACTTCCCAGCAGCACGCCCATTGCGATTCACCCGCGGCCCGCATCGCAGACCCCCTCCCGCATCGTAGGTGGTGTTCGACGCCCAAAGCCAGCGCTTGTGGTTGCGTCGGGAAGCTGAGCCAGAGTCGTCCGTTGGCCTTGCTTCTTAGTCGAGTCATTGGCTCCATAGTGGCTTGTTCATACTATATAGTTCTTGGTCTATAGTCATAGTCTATAGTTCTTGGTCTATAGTCATTGGCCTCGCTGTTCCAGAATGTGGCCAGAAAGTTCCAGAATGCCCCATGCCAGCCCACTCTTGCTAAGACTTGCTAAGTCCAACTTGAGGACTTTCGCGTGATCCACCTGATGTCAAGAATTCTATATGGACCATGCAGGAATGTTCTGTTATGTTACGTTCTGGTTCTTTTCCTCGTCCTGGGCCCTGTCCTTGCCCTACAGACCAGATTAAATCCATGCATCTCCCACGACGAGGTAAGCAGGGTGACCAGTGCCCAGCGCCCTCGCCGTTGTCGTCACAAGAAGTGCGCCTGAAGGCGCAGCTCGCGAAACCCCGTGAAACGCCGCGAAAGAGCTGGGGTGGGTGGTCAATAGACATGATTTTCCACATTCCATGTATGGAATGCATGAAGACATTGACCCCTTGTCAGCCTGCCACTCCAGTAGGTGGGTGTCAGAGTGCATCGATTGGATGGTTGAAATAGTTGGACGTGCCGGGGCCTGACACACTCTGTGCCTTGGGTGATACACATGATGAGATGCCCCACTTAAACTGTAAGGAGGCATGTAGCGGTTCTGGGTTGTCTAATAGGACTAATAGGTTGTGTTTGTTGTCTTTGGGCTTCCTGGTGCCTTTCTTTCGTGTGGCCATGCGGTCGGCAGGAGGAAAACCTGGGTACCTGGGGCAGCCACTTCCGAGAGGACCATAAGGCCCGGAGCCACAGAAGCAGCGTGGACGCCAGCGCGGACGGGAGGAGACGGGAGGGGTGGAAGTTCATGTGGTGAAACTGCCAAAAATTGCTGCTGTGTTACATATGGCTACACCATGCTACACCAAAGAACAAGAAACAGCTGGACATGCTGTGACTGTTTGAAGTGGATGTGTTTTTTGCCTCCAAGACAGTGCATACGTCCAACGACAGATCATTGACGACCCCAGTCGACAGGCTCGGTCGCTCGGAATCACCGTTTGGGTCGCTCGGTGGAATGCCAAAGACTTCAAGAGACATGTGATTCATGTGATTGATGGACAGGCTTGGTTCCAAAATGTTCCAAACACTCCCTCCCCCAAAAAGACTTGGACTCCTTGCTGGGAATTGATCGACGGGTTCCGCGAACCATAGCCATTATTTATGAGTTTGCTTGGAACTTCACAAGGCGCATTTGGTTGATGTATGTTGGTGTTGGTGAAAGCTTAAGAAAGGTTAAGCTGATGGGGTTTGAAGGGACCCGAGAAAAGGGCAGGTTTGGTGTCGTCATCCTTCGTTTGGGGATTTTAAGTGTAAACTGTGCTTACGGAAGGTACTTGTGGTTCTGGATGGTTCCGGTATGATCTGGTTGTGGTGGTCGTTACTGGTGGAATATGGAATTGTTGCACAAGGGTTCACTCGTCTTTGGACATTTGCAGCCTTTTAAGACGGCCCCTGACACGCCGCCGTGCGGTGGTCATGGCTGTTCCAGCCATGTGCGGTCATGCGCTGCACCGATGTGGGGGAGCTGCTGCGGGGTGGGAAAGCATGGGCCAGAGCCACTTGGATCGCCGAAAAGCGGTGTAAATCAGCATCCCAGACTCTCCATGTATGGCATACATGGAATATTTGTCTATATTGACCCCTTTTCAACCACCTGATCGGTAAATATTGCCAGTCCCATGGAGGGTTTGGGTATGCCATCGACGCTTCTCGAGCGAGACGTTTCAAAAGTCGATAAGTCCTCACCCCACCTTGAAATGTTTTTAACATCGGTGCGAGTGGTTTTTCCCGAGCAGAAGGGCATGTTGAAACAGCTATATATATATATATTAATATCAATTGACCCGGAGTGTCCACCCTTGAACTCTCTAAGGCGGTGCTCCTGCAACTGCTGTGCGCAGCGGAGCCGGCGTTGCCGCCGAGGTCGTGCGACCGGCGGGTCCAGCGGCGGGTCCAGCGGCGGATCCAGCGGCTCCTGCAGCAGCTGGACGGCCACGGAGAGGGTGCGGAGTCCGCGGAGCGCGCCGAAGCCATTTATGTTGCGTGGCAGGCGTGGAACAAAAGGGAGAGAAAGGAGGAATGAATGAATGAGTGAATGAAAAAGAATGACTGAATGAAATGAGTGACGGAGTGAGTGAGTGATTTAATGGAGGAAGTGGGAGCTTTGCAGGTCTTCGAGGAGTCCTACCACCTAGACCTTCACAACTCCACCACTTTCATCAGCCTCTTGGCCCGGCACAGCCGCTGGGCGGAGGCCTTGGACGTCTTCGCGGGCGTGGAACGGAGACGCGTGCCGGACGTGGTGTGCTGGAGCGCCGCCATCAGCGCTTGTGAGAAGGGAGACTTGGAGGCCTTAAGCATGATCCAGGTCAACAGCTTGATCCAGATGGATGGGTGTACCACTGGAACTTGGAAGACACTGCATTGACGGACTACCATCATAACCGTAGCTCCATAGCCAGAGCTGGGCAAGATCGCTTGCACCCCCCAGAAAGGGTCAATGTTTCCTCAGTTTCGCCTGGGTGCAAGAAAGCCTGTCTGCCAATTGATACAAAAAAGATGTGTGGACTGGGAAGATGTGCCACCCAACCTTTGCATGTATCATCCCAGTACCACTGCCAGTACATTTCCCAAACATCCATTTCCATCAGATTCTCTAGTATGGTGCTTTGTTGCTATAATCCATTTCTATCAGTTTCTCCCTATGTTGCTAGAATCGGTCTCTCCATGTTGCTTGGTTGTTGCTTTCCCGGATCCAACGACCTCGGAAAGTCCTTGTGGCCGAGGAAGTCGCGTGGAGGATGCCCTGGACTTGCCGCTCGACGGAGGTCTCGAACGGTGGAAGTCGAATGGCCTTCCCCGTCTTGGTATCCAAACCATGACCCTCGGAAACTCATTGATTTGTCAATATATCACACATCATGAACGATATATACAGCCATTAAGATCAGGTTCCCCAACACTACAATGTTGACCCTGGTGGTTTTGTTATTTGCTTTAATCATTATTTGTCAGTTTGTACGATGGGACATTGTCCTGGTGATCCCACATAGGGTCATTCACATGTATATATAAAGTATATTCCTGAATTTTGCTTGTATTTGCAAAATGCATGCAGTAGACATGTTTTATGTTATGTTTTGTCGTTTGGCTCTTGGAACCATCTTCAAAACTTCAAAAACCTCACCAAGGTTTCATGCCATGCCCCGGCGTCATCTCAAAGCAAACGTCTTCTCCTACAGCGCCACAATCAGTGCATGCGAAAAGCTCGGGCATTGGCAGCAAGCCTTGAGTTTGCTCCCCGGACGGAATGTCGTTCATCAACAAATGGGCCACATTGAGTGTGGGGCACAATGGTCAAAACCAGCAAGCAAAGCTAGAGTTTGTTCCTGGTTTAGGCGTTCACCGGTGGTCTTTGGTTTGCAACCAACAGCCATGGCCGAAGTGGAACCACGAGATCACAAGTCGCGGGCGGCGGCAATGAGATTTTGTTGAACAAAGCACTCAACGTTGGGTCTGATGGCCATTCCCAGAACCATCCATGATATCCATGCATGGAATAGTTATAAGTTATATACGTACATTTATCCCATGTATGGCCCTACAATGTAACATATAACTATTCTATACGTGGAATACCGTATCTGGGATTGTTCGCTGTTGCCGCAAACTCTGGAGAGTCAGCCCATATGTCCTGAACACCATATTGTCGGGGGCTCTTTGTGGAGAGTCGACCACAGCCACTTGGGTGAAACAGTGAGCCACTTGAGTGTTTTGTCTCCAGCTGAGTGTGAGCATCATCATCAAATTGTGAAAAGGCACATGAAGACCATTTTTGCTGGATGAGATAATCAACGAACAGGGCATCCAACGGGTACATATTTTGTGATTTTTTTGTGGACAAGATACCGTAAACAACTTGAAGGGCTTTCTTGATTATTATGTTGCGTAGTGAACCACTGAAATCAATGGACACCCCCAACAAGCAACGTATTAACCGTTTCCAAGCGACACGGCTCACGCGCTGAAGATGCCCACGTTAGTCTCAGTCTATGTGTTTGTTTTGTTTCCTACATTGACGGTCAATCATTGACGCCTGCCTGAAACCATCCGAATGTAGGTACCTGGAACCTCCAACAACCCCCACCTCTCTGGTGAAACGTGAGTCTACTCTGGTGGCGATTGAACAAGCACAGTCCCGTACGAGTAAGATGCAAGCCAATACCACCAAGTCACATGTCGCGGTGGTGTGGCTCGTCCCATCCAGTGAGTGGATCATAGACACCCCTAGCCCCGACTACCTCCAAGTTCAGCACCCCGTCTTGTGACTAACCAGTCCCATGGAGAAAACGAAACCCAGGTCCCATGGAGTCCAGCCCCGTCGCTCTAGGGCCCCGAACCGCCCCGCTTCTGCGGTGTCGGCCGAGGTTCGCGGCGATGCCGGCGGCCCAGGTGGAGCCCGATGTGGTGACCTTCAACACGACGCTGAGTGGCCTGGAGCGATGTGGGTGCCACCGGTGACCAAGGAAGGGGAAGTCGTAAGAGCCAAATACATGGGTAGTCGAACAAAAGAAAAGAACACCCCATCAAACCACAACTGGGCAAGAATGAGACAGGTGGTAGAGATATGGAGAGATACCCTCCCTACAAGCATGGAAGTGGAGAGTCCCATGTTTGTAGAGGAAACTGGGCTTGCCAGGGGCCTACGTTCCGCTTCCATAAGTGTTTCAGGGAGTTTGCAGGACCAGAAGTCTTTTTTTTTGTTCAGTGGCTTTGGTGTCCTGTGGCTATTTGCAAGAATTTCCGGCAGAGATAGCTTGTGATGAAGATGCTTTGGATGTGGACGGGGGTACTCGTACTGCCAGGTTCATGCTGCTTCACCACTGTCTACTGAGTTCGCGTCGTGTTTCTGTTTCATCCTGAGATCCTTCCAGCCACGACTCTTGCCTGACCGGTGCTTAGCAAGGAATGAGGGAATGGATCCTAAAGTATCTATAGTGAGGGGTCCTTCCTTTACTCTATGTTATTCTCTACTAAGCACCAGTAGGGTGCCGTCGCACGTCCATGTCTACTTTTCACTTCCACCGTCTTCGCACCGAGCGCAGCTGCAGGCGCAGTGGAGCCTCTTGGCGTCATACGTGGCGATGCGTCGCTCAGGCGTGGGCTGGTCGCGTCGTTGGTCGATCCGCGTGGTGAGTGGCAGACATGGATCCCGGTCCGGTCTGAGGTTTCGTGGCAGCTACTTCAGAGAGAGAGGGAGAGATAGAGAGAGAACGGTATCCCAACGCACTTAAACAGTTCAGATGAAAGTAAGACAGAGAACAGTACATTCTGTCAACATGAACAGTGGTTGACATGGTGTTCTGAACTGAACCTTTGTTTGCGTTTGACTGGGGTGATTCTCAAAACTATTTTGATATGCTCACTTGCAAGGTCTTTTGGATGGCTTTGTTGACGCTGAAACTGGGTGCAGCACCGTCACGGTGTGATCCATGCTTTTTGCATCAATCGTTTCATTGTGCGCATGTCGAGCCAAGGAAAGGGGCTGCCCATTGGCAGTTCGCCTCAGCCTTGTTCGAAGCCATGCCAGCGGCAAACGTTTGCCCTGACTTGATCAGTTTTAACTCCGCCATCAGCAACTTGGTCCTGAGATTCACACAAACCTGCACACAAATCTGGGATGTCACAAACTCATGTGGCAGTTACTCCTTGGGTGGCAGCTTACTCCTTGGGTGGTGACTCATTGAATAGTGCCTGTGCAGGAAGAAAGTTGTCTTCAGTTCTGCATTTTGGCCAACCCTATAGACTTCTGTGGAGGCACTCTGTAAAGGAGGCACCTAGCGAAACTACTAGCCGGTTGTTCCTCAGCACCCGAGCAACACGTTGAAAAACACAATGAATGCAGGGTCCAGGACTGGAACTTTTGTCCTTTTTGGGGTACATGTTTGCTGGTGTTTCCAGGTATTTACAGGATTCTCCAGTGGTCTCCAGAATGCTGCCCACATGAAGTGATTGATTCATATATAGAAATGGGTTGCATGTGCAGGTAAAGCTGCAATTATGTTGTTTACGACTGACTGTGCCCCTTTTACCTGTTTGTAACTCAGAGCATGATAATACGAATGACAGCAGTGACACCCAATACAAGTTTTAACTAGAGAGGATGTCAATGTCTATTTTGGGAGACACCACAATAAGATCTTTGCATCTTGTGGCGAGGTGCAACAACTGAGGTTTGTGCGAGAAGTTTGGCGTTTGGATGCAAGCACTGGGCTTTTGGCGTGCCATGACCACCCAGCAGGATGGGCTGGCAGACCCACGGCAGATTTGTCGCATGGACTTTCAACATGTTTTGCTGGTTGGAAAGTTAACACATGATTTACACAGCTCATGGTGATTTGGACGCACTTCACACACATGCACCGCCCCCTTCATACAACCTAAAGACCCCAGAGGTCAAATGCTCAGAAACCTGCATTTCTATCAGACCTATATCAACCACCAAGCAGGGGGGCAAACAAATCACCGCCGCCGCAACCTGGCCTCCTCAGCAACAAGGATCATCAACAGCCACCACCCTGCAACAGCCGGTTCATGTTTGGTTTACATTCCCTGAAGCGACGCTTTGTTTCCTGCCACCGTCTCCAGACCCATTTGGACTCTATGAATATTTGACCAGGGAGCCAGGGAGTCCTTTGGGTTCCATGGTCAGCCTCCGCGATGAACGTTGGGACGAACAAGAAATTGGTGACAGAAATGCTACTACTAACTATAACTATCTCAAATTCATCCTCCGTATGAGCACATCTTGAGTGAAAACAGGTGCCTGGATCGAATTCGATTCCGCCGTTGCTTTGGCCCCGCGGTGTCCCCGCACAGATCGCGGCGGATGCGGTGACCTTCGGCGCACTGCTGAGCGCGGCCGAGAAGGCGAGAGTTCCCGCGGGCGCCGAGGTGCCGAGGACAACCCGTTCGTAGCGTCCGATCGCTCCGTTCGTAGTAAGGCCAGGAGCCCCGTTCGTAGCGTCCTCGTTCCTATCAAAAAAGATTCATGTTGCTGCGCAGACTGTGCCCATGGACCCCGACGAGTCACCAATTGAAGCACTCACCTTGTGACTCAAGTCTTGCGTCCCTGATCATTCGTCTTGGCCTTGAGCGTCTCCCTCTAGCGAAAGAAGACGCTGACGGCGCACCCATCGTGCCAGGCCTTCCAGTGGCAACGGGCACTGGAGATTTTTGCAGCGATGCCTGCGTCCAAGGTGCTGGGAAGCGATTCGCGCAGGGTTGAAGCGAAGCGAAGAGATAAAACAAGAACATGTATTACCCACGATTCGTGGTACATGGACGCCAAATATTTAATTACGGATATAACTGTTGCAATAGACACCTTTTGGATGTTGCTTTTTGGTTTGCAATATGTATGCTTGTTGGCCAATGACTATGCCCTATGTATGGTCCTTATTATATACAGCTTGTAACTTTGTGGAAGCAGTTATCTTCCAGCCGAAATGCATCGCATATAATCTCTAACACAGCCGTAGCTGGTCTTGCGCATGTTACGTTGAACGCATGTGTTCAACTAGTCAAATAGTTTTGCCATTGCAATTTCAGTCCTGTCTTGTGTGTGATTGCTTGTATTGTGGTTGCACGAGCCTCTTATTGAATTTATAAGTTTCAGCTTTGCCCTTACCCTATACAGCAGAAAGCCCGCTCCCAAAAAGTACCAGGCATGGTTACATTCCTCCACGCAAGCAAGGCTTTCATGATTCATGATAACAAACTATGCTTTAGAAGCGCTGCTGGGTTGGATCAGTTTCTTGTAAAAGGAACACTATAAACTGTTGTTACCCGTTTGTTGAAGGTAGCCTCGATAGCCAAATGACTTGGTAGCTACCTCAATGTCAGCTCTATAGCATCAAATACCGATACAACCACGGGACTACGCACGTCCTTCCATGTATCCAGGTTTGAGGCCAGACCAACGGTGATAGTTTGCCATGTGCTGCGAACAGCAGGTCGAGCCAAATCTTATTTGCTTCAACGCGATCCTGAGCAGCTGCGAAAACATGGGAATGTGGCAGGAGGCCCTCGTCTTGCTTGCGTGACTTTGAGGCACTGATCACAAGTGTTGTCAGTTGTTTTTTTTTGCTGCGGACAACGATGTTCTTTTTCCACAAAGCAGGCAGGAGGATGGGTCACCACAATAAGGTTGTTTTGTATCATGTGTATCATGTTGTATCGTTATCACTGGCAAAAATGATGTATATATATGTCTCCACTAAATTTGGAGATGACAGTTTTCACCTGCTGGCAGGAATCTAAAACCTCCTCGATCTTGGCACAGGGATTCCAACGGGGCCAGTAATGTGAGTCGTTCTGTGTCACCCAAGCTTGTCTCAGGTGAATGTGCTCAAATTTTATTGTCTTTAAAAGTGCAGGTGCAAATTGCGTGCATGACATCAACAACAGTAGATATGTTGGCAGGTAAGTACTTGTCAGGAACAGTATTCTGCTAAAGACAGTGTCACACTTTCGTTGGAGAGCATCCGAGAGGGTGATTGCACAATGGAAATGTTCAAAGCTAGCCCTGTGGTGTGCAGAGAGACGTCGTGGGTAACCAGGTTGGTCCCCTGCTTTTGAAGTGCAATGCTCCCCTGACTGACGGGTGAGGTCCTTGATGCAAATGCGTCTTGCTCCTGACTTCATCACCTTCAATGCAGTGTTGCGCTCCTGTGAGAAGCAGGTGCACGTCCTGGCAGACATGTGGATCAGCTTGACGGTGTTCGTAAGGTGCAGTTGGTTGGTTGCTTTGTCGGACCATGTTGGACCTTTGGTTGTTCATTGTAATAGTACCGGTGTTTCTGGTGGGAACTTCACACTACCTTTTGAGCATGTGAGCATGGGCATGGGCTTCTGCTTTTTATCATTTGGAACTAGCCAAACACCGACAGAAGAGGCACCCCGCAAACCTGCTCGAACTAGCCATTCTTAGATATTTCAAGCAATCCAGTCACAATCAGGCGGTGTTTCTTGGTCAAAGGGTCTGCTGCTTTGGGGTCTGAGTGTGTATTTTTCGACCGGGAGACCCCCGATGGCCCGCTGGCTGGGTAGGTTGTGGGTCGTCTCCGGTGGTCGTTCCCGAGGCCCATACAGGAGACGACCCATGGCATGCCCGGTACGGTCGTCCTTGGAACGTCCTTGCCCGGTTTGCCGTGGATTGCATGGCTCCGATGGCGGATGACTGTATCAATCTGTTTCAGCCATTTTCAGCCATACATCCGAATCCCAAACAGGGGGCGAACTCGACTTCCATGTCAGTTCCTGGATGTTCCACGGATTATATCGTGTTTCGGCCCAAGAACATACCCTGCCGCCACTCTCACCAATCCTAGTACAATATCCAAGTGCTGAGTACCACCGCCTTCTAATAGCCGTCCCATTGGGAGGCTGCAGGTCTTCTCTTCCACTCATCGCTTTGATCTACTCCTTGTAGAAAGAGGACCACACAGGAACATGGTCGATTCTCAGAGAGGCCCTTGGGGGTCGATGATCGTCGGAGACTGAAGATGGAGAGGGCGTTGAATCACCAACTCTGCGCAGAGGCGAAATGGCCGGAAGCACTGCATTTGTGTCGAATGACTCAAGAAGCGGAGGTGGCAGACACGACGGCGGTCAACGCCTCCGGGCAGCAGGTTGTTTTTGGGTTTCCTGATGTTATTTTTGTTTGCACCTAGAAGGTGTTTTCTTTTTTTTGGGGGGGTACTGCAGACCACTCAAAAGGCACCTGGCGAGCTGCCTGCGAATCGGGATCCAAAAAATTCCACCAGCTTCCTCAAACCTGGCCATTGGGATCTTGAATTCACCAACTCTTGAATTCAAAACTCCTTTTTGTTCTGCTCGCCTTGGATCGGATTGTTTGGGCAGGCCCTAAGCGGGTTCACTTGGGCGCTCCAGCCTCGGACTGCTGCTAGCGAAGCTCCCAAGCTGTGGGATTTTGGGAGCTGAGGGACTCTCAAGTGAAAACAATAGTAACAAGTGCATCGCTACTAGTAGCTTCTTGTTACTAGTAACAGTAGTGATGCACTTGCTACTATACATATATATATATATAACTATATATGGTGTAGCTTCTTGTTACTATGTTTTCGCTCAATCGGAGATTCCTAAAGTAGTGCAGGGTAGCTGAAATGCTACCGATGGTCCTAGTTCCGTCGATCTGGCGACGCCTCCCCCAATCTGGACTGGTGCTTTATCACCTGGACTGCATGGCGTCATAATTCTTGAAGTTATGTGTGGGATGCCTTGTTTTAGCTGTACCTGTCGAGGGCAGTGCCTCACCCTTGAATCATAGAAGAATGTTCGACTTTGTTCTTGTAATTATATTAAGGGACCTTTAAGTAAGCTTCGTCCTCTACTGTTATTTGGTCAGGGCAATCTTCCAAATCTGCACATCCTCCAAGCGCGCACGCTTGCGCGCCGAGGCCACCATCGGCACCTGTGATAAGGCCTCGCAATGGCGATGGGCCATCCATTTGTTGTTCAACATGCAGGCCGCCCAGTACCACCCGCGCAGTTGGGATTTCGCGATCGAGGCCTGCCTACGGAGTGGCATGTGGCATGCTGCACGACATGTGAGAGCTGCGAGAGGGAGGTTGGGCTGGGCTTCTGACTGAGGGCGCCCTGTTCGCCTTGCAACATTGGAAGCGTCATTTTTGGCGGAGATGCTGGTGCCTCAAGAAACACCTCCGGGAACTGAGCCTTCAGATGAACACCTTGGTCACCTCGAGACGCGAAAGCAAGAGCTTTCAACGCTTTGAACAACAAAATCCGTTGAAGTAGATATTTTTTTGCGTTTGAAGGTGTGCAAGATCAGATGCAATGACAATCATCCGGCTGCTTTTGCCTTGGTCACCTGCTTGTGTGGTGGTGGAAACTTGACATCAAAAGTCGGACCTCAGAAATACATCCCTTGGAAGGGTCGACCGCATGTGGTGTCTGAAATGGCCAAGTGGCCAAGTGGCCCACGACATATGTCATCAAGGGACCTCGTTGGATCTGTCCTTCCAAATAATGAGCACACATTGTCACACAATGAGAATCTCGTCAGTTGTGGTTTGTGTTTTTCCAGTGAGGTGGGCAGGATGTTAACGGCTTGGAGAGATATGATATGTAATACAATTATCATGTGGACCATGGTCAAGATTAGCTGTTTCCCCCTTACTTACGAACGGCGCCTGCGTGCCAATGGACTACGGCGCCTGCGTGCCAATGGACTGGCGTGCCAATGCCGACTGGCATGTGATGTGGGAGTATCCAGGGACCGGTGACCCAAGGTACAAGTATCAACCAGTCAAACCTCACATGTTCGTCGTTTGTACCAGAGGAGAAGCCAGGAGATGCATGCCTGGGCAGGTGATACCCCCACCCGCACTCTCTGCCGCACCTGGGCTCAAGCTGGGCTCAATTTCGGACTCAGCCCATGCGCGCGAGTCCGGCGGCCTGGCGCTGTGCCGCAGCACGGCCGTCGTGTACGAGAATTCAGGTGACTTGGCCGATTCACGTCGCGTCGCGTGAAGCATCCGGTGGGAAGCATCCGAGGCGTTCATCAACTAAGGGTGAACCAATAAAATGAGAATGGCGTTGCAGACTTTTCAGAGAGGCTCAGGCATTTGTGTAGTGTTCGGATCAGTGCTCCACTCAAGCAAATCAGGACACAGAAACTATAGGCCGACCTCTCGAAGCAGGCAGTGCTTTGAGGAGTCAGATCCACCAAACACAGGTTGAACTGTTCGGGGAGGATAGCAAAGGGCAGTCTGAGTCATATACTGTATGCAGTCATGCCGTGTTCTTGTTCTTTCATATTTTATCCTTCGAGATGGTTGTTGCTGCCGTCCTTTTTAAACTAGTTATAGGAATGAAGTTTTTAAACTCTAGCTTCCTACCAGAAAGGGGATCAAATATGTTTGCATTCCAACTTCGAAGTTCTTACCACACGGTTTCCTCGACAGAAAGCACACTGTGAAACATTGTGAAACCAGGTGAAACTCATTGGCCGTGTGGTCCCATTGCGTCACTTTGAGACTCCTTTGGCCGACCTGTAATGCATGGAAAACCACTGATATATCAGGTGCAGTCGTCACCAGGGCAGCCTGGATGGAGAGCGCAGAAGCTGCCGCTTGGAAGAGATGCGGATTCAACATTGCCTTGCTGACTTGTTCGACTCTTCAATTCCTCAGCACTGTTGCTTTCGTAGGATTTTTAATAGATCCATTAAATTTATCCTTTTGTTGGAGTAGAGAGCTTCCGTATGCCACGATATGCCAGGGAGGTTCAAGTTTTCAGGTATTCCTCTCATTGTGGACTCTCCATCTACTATGGCCTCTTCCCCATCCTTCCCAATAATATTTCCTGGTACTTTTAACACGCCGAAATCGGAGACTTCTTCTCATTCCTTGGCTTCGAGGAAATCCTTGAGCCGGGCGGATCTCATTTGGACCACCTTGGAGCAATGGCGCCTGGAGGGGCAACGCCTCGACCCCCGCGGCTCGATTGAGACCGGACCCGCGTCGCGTTCCAACGGGGGGACGGTGGGGAAATCAGAGACTGCTTGGGCCGGGCGAAGAAAAGGGGCAGGTCGCAGTGTCACCATGCGAGGCAAGGGGAGGTTGTTTGAGTTGTTGTGGCCAAAACAACAAGGCAAGCGTAAGGCGTAAGAACCGCAAAATGTTCACTGGTGTTGAGATCGGCATCGATTGAGAAAGCCTTACAGTTCAAGGGCATGAAGCCTAAGTCCATGGTGCTTCCTCAAATCCAATCCATCATGACCAGATGATTAGCTGGTGCTCCTCGGGTCGCCGAGAGTATCCAGTTCTTCCCCCGGCAGGGAGCCGTTGGGAGTGACCACGGCCTCACCCCTTGGGCGGTCGATGAGTAGCGTCCGTTTGGTCTTCGAGATCGATGCGGGCCATCCCTATGTCGACGTTTGGGAGTTGACCATCCGTGAGGGACGTTGCGGATGTCATCGGATGTCATGTGGGGTATGCTGGCCACTTCTCCTGATTTCATTCAACCGATGGTGAGGGGAGTTATGAAATACTTCGACCCAGTTGTTCCACAGGCTGCAGTCCCTTTTCGTCGTTGACCCTTGGGGTGTTGGGTGGGAGCCTAGTTCGATTTGACCAACTGCCTTGGGAGAAGCCGTCAGTCGGAGGGTAATGTTGGATGCGCAGCCCCACTTTTCTTCCTCCGAGGCACCTATACCGTGGGAATCTCCTCATGTGGAAGGCCGGGGTGCTGGCAGCTGCTGATAGGTGCACATGTCGCACACCCTCAGCACTGGCTAGGGGATAGTTATATTCGTTCAGGGGGGGAACTTTTTTGATGGTTCATTGCTGCTTCGAGAGGGGAACTTTGTTTTTAGTCAGGGACCGGCAAAAAATAAGTGAAGACAGTGATTTTAGCTGATGTTTGTAAGGTGTCCGTAAGGTTTGCCGTAAGGATGTGCAAATTTGAACCGTGCCGTAAGCAACATTTGTTTTACTTTGATTATTATTCCTTTCCTGTTTTGCAACAGCATACCACATGTGACCACAGGGGACTTGCATACCTCTGCCGTAAGCACAATTTAAGAATAGCCATGCATACATGTGCCACCGTAAGCAAAACACCCGGTGTTGACCAATATGACATACCATGACTACCTCAAATCACTAAATTCATGATGCTCAAGACTACCCTCATGATCCAATTGAAGATCTCCATGTTCTATGACACGATATACATATACATAGTGGGTTGAGAGTAGATGGCACAAGGGCCCCCAATGTCGGTGGTATATATATGGAGCTCCATCTCAACGGCATTTTCGGGGGCCCCGGGGCCATCGGTTTCCTCTGAAAACCACGGTAACTGGTCGAGTAACTACGTGAAGCCGTGAAGTGTTCCTTTCTTGGTCACAGTGCCACAGTGATCCATTTGAAGATCCCCATGATTATCCATGATTATATTGTATATACCGAAGTCCAAAGACTATCATATAAGTAAAGGAAGCTCCAATGCACCCTAAAGACATTGCCCCAGGAAGCTCTGATCCTCTCCACCCGAACCACGCGGCGGCCGCGTGTCATGCAGCACCATGCGTGCCACCGACCCTGCGAGGTTGGCCAAATGGCCTTTCGCCGTAGCGCTCCTGGCATCGATGCCCAAGGCAGAGGCATCGGCTTGTCACCGCGGAAGGTGGACGGCCACACTGCGCTGAAAACGGTTTGAACAAGAGAAGACGAGGTCGGTTGGCATGGTGGAACACTCTCAAACAGCAGGTCTTTTGCTCAAGTTCCAGATGGACTAAGTTTTGTTGCTTAGGGTATGAGTGAATCCCCTTCTGGGGAAAGATTGTTTCATTGAGCAAATCCAAGATGGATTACCAAGATTTCAAGAGCGTTCTCCTAAACTGCTGAGCTTGTCAGGTGCAACCAAATGCCTTCAGCTATGCAGCAGTCATGGCGGCCTGTCGAAGGGCGCAGGACTGGCAGGTGCCTGTCAGATTGCAGTGTGATTGATTGTAGAGTCTCCTCAAGTACAGAGTCAACGAGTCTATGAGAGTCTTTGGATTTACATGATTCACTCTACTGTCTTCGCGATATGTTCGCGATAGATTCACACTCACCTCCACTGGCTCCTGGCTCCTCGTTCGTTTCCTCCCTCCTTTGGGCAGGTGGCCCTCAGCCTTTTGGATGAGATGCAGGCGGGCCGCACTTGGACCGGTCAGACCGGCCGGCTAGACCGGCTGAAATGGCACACACGACGAAGACATGGATGGATATGTCTACCATGATTCATGATGGTAAATGAGTAGTTATTCCAGTCCCATGGATGGCATGGGAAACAGAGTTCTTTGTGCTTTCTGAGGGTTGGTACCTGGGGTTGTCTTTTGGTTTCAAGCTCCTGTGGCTGGAGAGCGACATCTCAAAGTCGGAACAAGCGTTTGAGCTACAAGTGATCCTCCTTGCGGATGTTCTGCTCTCATTAGGGCAATTTTCAGGCTATATATATATATTTATATGTGTGTGTGTGTTTGTTCCAAAAAGATACTGTAGAATATTCCCCCTGAGCCAAGTCGAGTCTGGGTAGAAAAGGGTAGGCCTGTTGTTCTTCCTCTTTAAGATATGACAGAACCCTCCCCTCTCCTGGCGTGTCCGGACCTGCCTTTCTAACGGCAGGTAGCTGAGGTGCAGCCCAACCAGGTGTGCTTCAACACGGCCATCAGTTGCGCGGGTCGATGGTTCATGGCAATCCACTTGCTGGAGCAGATGCCCGACACACTATGGGCCAAAAGCCCTGGGCGTGCGGAGGGGTGTTATTTTTTGGGTGTCTTTGAAGGTGGCGGTTTTGGGGTTGCAGAAGGGGATTGTGTGTGTGTGAAGATGGTTGCATTCTGCTTGGAAAAGTGAGTACACCTCGAGAAAGGAAGTAGCAGGACAACTGGACAACTGAAGAGCTGAAGGAAGATGTTTCTGGAAGCTTCTTTGGTATGGATACAACAGCCCAAAATTCACCAGAAAGGCTTTGACAACAGACTCCAGACTATCCCTCCTGGAGGATGTTTTTGTTGTCCAATCAAGGCTTACTACAGTTATTGAGCGACACGTTGCCCTGCACGACCTGACATACCCCAGAGAGTTTACAACGCTTGACAGGCGTACTTTGCTTGAACCTGATTGTGGCACTTGTCCTTCAACACGCAGAATGATTTGGTGAGATTGCAGTACAATAGTGCATGATCGTACTATGTCTAGAGGAGATAACTACGACCGACGATTACTGCAAGGCAAGAACCCTCCAACAACTGACACGGCATAAACGTTCCATTGTCAATTTAATCGCATCTAATCCATGGGTCCATGACCTCAAACTAGTTTGGTACCCTTTTAATGTTGTTCCACACGTCATATTTCTCCTGAAAGCCCTAGCTGAAATCATGGCATCACCCACCTGCGTCGACACAAAAAACTTCGCCGCAGCGCTAGGATGCCACAGTGCGATGTGATCAGCTTCAATGCTGCCATGAGCTTATGTGAGTGGCATCAGGCCCTGCAACACCCAGCTTGGCATGATACAGCGATTTCAGATGGCACAGATCCCATGATGTCCTTTAGATGGGGGTCCATATAAAGCACGGACATCGGGGGATTGAATTGTGCCATTCAACTCAATCCGCTTTCTATAGATCGCTGTTGGTTTGGCCACCAACAAAAACGATGTATGACTGCAGACTTCCGGAATAAGAAAAACTTTCTATTCTGGTGCTTTTTTTGCTTTCCCGTGGGTGACAATCATAGAGCATTCCAGGTGTTGCTTGAATTTCTTCGCTTTGGAGACCGAAGACACCAGATGAAAGAACACCCTGAGAAGGAATAGACCAGTCTCTTCAAACCAGTGTAGGCAGACCCTTTTTGTCAATGGGTTGGGATCTCACCAAAAAAGTACTTATCAGCACCCCGGTCTGTAAATGCTCACACTGAAATCTCAATGTTTGGCCAACCAGTGTTGCACCGACCTAGTTTAATGTCAAGAATGAAATCGCCGACAACCGCCGTGTAGAAGTGACAGTCTACATGCATGTATATATGTTCGTATATTTTCCAGTGGTTCGCAGGTCTTTAATCACAGACCAACGCATAAGAGGCGTCTTAAAGGAATAGATTTGGATGCCCAGCCAACGAACATGTCCAGGGCTGCAGTCCTCAAAGGCTTATCGTGTTGCATTTCTCGTCGGTTGGAGTCCACCTTCCCTCCTCGCAGGCCATGCTTTTGTTCGAGGCAATGCCTCAGGCAGAAGTCTTGCCTGATGCTTAGATGCAATGCAGTCTGCTGATTTATTGAAGGATCTATATACAGTGGCATTCGTTGCCGCCCCCAGATGGAAGACAATGTTCCTCTACAAGCAAGAGTCCACCTTCCTAAACAAAATAGAAACCAGGTCCGCGGAGGGAGGATTTATACAACGTTTACAACCTGGTTCGGTTACCTGCATCTTGAACCATCACAACTCCAAGTGAGTTGCTACTAGTGGGTGATCGGATGAACGACACTCGACGCTGTGGGATGACGCTGGTGGCGATCCTTAAAGCACATCCGAACCATCACAGCCCCTGGCAGGATGGAAGAAGAGACTTTTACAGTATTTGGATAAGACCTGAGGGGAATTGAACTGTGGCACCTGCACATGACCCCTCTTTGCCCAGGATGTGATTAGCTTCAACTCCACCATTTCTGCCTGTGAGAAGGGTCATGAATGGCCCACCGCTTTGGCACTCTTCGAGCAAATGCCTGAGATGCAGGTACAGGCCAGGATGGCAAATAGGCACAGACTCACACAAGGTCCGACTATTTACAGTGTCTCACATGGGGGTTCCAAGTCTTGTTTGGCAGTTCTCCACGTTCTCTGCGGGTTCATGGTGCTATGCCTGCTGCGCACGTCGCAGAGTTCCTGTGCGAAGGCAGACCTCATCACCTTCAACTCCACCATGTGACTCAACTGAAGTGCGAGACTGTGGGCAATGAGGACAAAGCACAAACTGTCAGGGCATTCCTGGGACACATCCATGCAAGCTCGACATGTAAGATGAACACCACTTCTTTGTGGAGGAAGGGTGTTTCTGACTTTTTTTGTCCATGTTTCTTCTACAAGGGCGGTCTTGCTCAGATCATGTGCTTTTCTCTTTGCATTCCTGTGGTTGGCATTCCCATTTCCTTTTACAAAGCATAGTCACTGGCATGTGACCCGACTGTTCACCATCGGTGTCGATATTCGATACTTGGTTTTCGAACATACGACCTGCAACGATCCAAGGAGTGCGCTGGAGAAGGGCTCTCAATGGCAAGAGACCTTGCATTTCTATGGGCACATGTCCAAGGCTCAAGTCCTGCCGGACACCTGGCTGATGTATGTAGTACACAGATGCACACAGATGTTTCAACCTCCAGGCCCATCCACGCCAGGGTGCTTTACTTAGCCTGCACTGCTTCAAGCCCTTGATTCTTTGCGGGGTACATGGGACTCGGGTTGACTCGGGTTGATGAAGCTAATCAACTGGGTAGGAGACTGAGGCAACTCCGAATCCAGGTGAGGGGGTGAGATCAGCTTGCTGGGTGAGGTGGTGGTACCTGGGTCCTTCCGTTGGGACATGCTGGGACATGTTACAGTAAAAATACTCGAACCTTCATGGTATTGATATTGTCTTAGCTTAGACTATGTCAGCTCCAAACATCCAATGTTCCAAGCCTCACCTGCCCCAATCGCCCATCACCGCAACCAAATCGGGAAGCCATCCATTGCTTGGAAGGTGAACCTTTGAAGGTGGAGGAGGTAAGCAGGCTGAGAACTGATGGACATAAACAGCTAGGGTAGTACGTCCCTATGTGCCTGGCTTCATTAGAGATGAAAGAGAAAACCATTTCCTTTGTTCCTGGGGCATAGAAAAGCCAGAGTTGCCTCAGCGTGGTTTCTGCACGACTTTGCTGAGGACGTGATTAGCTACAGCGCGGGAATCAGTAGCTGTGAGCGGTCGCAACAGTGGGCTGCAGCCTTGGCATTGTACACGGCCATGGAAAGGCAAGAGGTCAAGGCGGACGGCATTAGCGCCTTGGCCGACCACCAGTTTGTAGCTGTGAAGACTCTTGGCAAGATTCGCCAATCTGGTCTTGTGGGTGTCTTTTGATTGACGTTTCACCACTTGGCGCTACTACTACCCTATGACACAAGTTGGCTACCTCTATGGATCCGTTCATGTTCGCTCCAGATGCTCGGACCCTGGTCGTTCGGGAGTGGACGTGACCGGTGTCCACACACCTCGGACGCGCGCGGCACCCCACAGCACAGCTCGTTTGGGGGGTGCCCCCACAGCATTCGAAGTGAGTGGCTTTTCACCACTGTCTCGCACAATCTCTTGGTGAGGCAAAATGATGATACACGAGGCTAGGCTAGGTGGTTGGGGTGCAAGGAAGAGAACTTCCTTAGGGTGTGTTTGGCCACTACACGCTGAGGCTTCAACGCGCTGATGAGCTCATTCAAAGATGCTGGAAGGTGGCAGGATGCTGGGCCTGGGCTGGTGGAAGAAGCAAAGCGATGAGGTTCGTTCCCCCAACATTTGGATTTTGTGGGTATGATAGAGACTTGATGAGTGCAACAAGTGTATATATATATAAATAATAACCTTAGTTCTGGCATTTGATGGGTGGAGTGTGTACAAGGTTTTCGGCCATCCAGCATGCTGTTTAAGCAGACAGATAGTGAGACAGTGGCAAGTTTGCACCAGCTGGACTGCGCCTTAAAATGCTGAATCATTTCTGCAAAATTAAAATTGAAGAGTCTCACAGTCAGACCTCTAAACCAAAGGAGTCTTTGGAGCAATACCCTATTTGAGACGTGCCCATACATACGCACAAAAGGCTTTATGTGAGGGACACCTTCAAAACAATGATGCCAACAAATATAGGGATCATAGGGTCACCAACGCATTTCTCAGCGATTTGCCAAAAACACAAATTTATGAAAGCAAACAAAACAAAGGCGACAACTGAAGGGCGCTTTCGTTCAACTTTGTGATGCAGTTGCTGACACCTTTGTGATGCAGTTGCTGACCCGCCCTGCTTGGCCTCCATCGAGGAGGTTCTGGAGCTTTTCGAGTTGATGAAATCACAGCTGCAGCCGGTTTCACTGCTGAGCTACGTTGCCGTGATGAGTGTTTGTGGGAAGAGCGGCCAATGGCAACAATCCTTGCGCTTCTTCGAAGAAATCCCCAAAGCACAAGTGCAGCACAGTGTGGTTTCTTGGCACCTTAAGGATCGGCCTCCTGGTTTCAGTAGAGGGGACAGTCGACACTTGTGAAAGTGGAGCTACTCTTGGACGCTAATTAATGCATTTGTTCTATCGCTAGGGAGTGGGCGCTTGCAGGACGCTTCCTTCCTTTTACCTTCCACGATCGAATCCATTGGGAAGTGGCAGCATGGATCTATTTTGATAAATAGACAGGCAGATACCCGGCGCGGGGCCTGTTCCACTCAAGCATACATGTTGTTGAGAGAGGGTGGATGGATTTTCTGTCACAAGCCAGTCCTCCCCCTGTCTGGCGGCCTGGCGCTTGTGACCGCGTGCTACCAAGGCCCAGACAGCCGATTCTTCCTGGTTAAGACAAGAAGGTGGTTTGGTTAAGATATCAATTACACTCTGGCTCACTCACATGAAAGTGGAAAATCAATGAACCCGGTCTCTGGGAATTTGTGTCCTTTACAGGCAGAACAAGCCGTCCACTGCCGATGTTGTTCGTCTATGTCTATGTCTCTAACAAAGACCCTGGCACATCACTACCGACCTGCGCAGGTCAGCTACAACGCAATGATCAGTTCCCTTGAGAAGGTGGGTCAATGGCTTCAAGCCCTCCACTACTTCGAGTTCATGTTGCTTGGTGTCCACGGCTTGGCAGAGGTGTGTGTTTCTTTCCGGAGCAACTATAATTATGTTGAGATCCTTTTTTTTCAAGTCTTGGGCTTGTCCCGAAACTTCCATTGATGGATAATTAGCATAGAACCATAGCCCAAGATGTTTTCCTTTATCTCTACTATGTGAGAGTGAGGTACTGTATTGAAGGAAATTGAAGGAAAAACATTGAAGTTACCCAGTACTGGGTGCTTTTGCTATTGCTCAATTCTTTACCCCGCCCAAAAAAGATCTTTTGGCTCCAAAGTGATATTTAATTTGAATAAGGATTGGCACAGTCTTTGATTCTGTTTGCCAAGAGTTGTGGGGTGGACAACATAACAGCCTAAACCGCTTATGCTTGTGGATTGTCTTCCGCCCCCGTAGACGCTCAACCGCTGAAGTCGGACCGCTCCACCGAGGTGCTCTTCAGACCTTCAGCCGAGCCTGGTGAGTTTCAACGCCATGATCAGTGACCAGCCGCGATGAGTTGTGCTGCGCGTGGCCTGCGAGTTTTTTCATGTCATGTTAGGCGATGAGTGGCAGGAGATGATCAGAGGATCTTGCATTTTCAAGAAAGACTACATGAAAAGTCACCGTTGATGTCCTCTGGCAGGAGTGTAGAAGACCATGGAACAGCGGATTCCATTATATATGATATATGACGAGTACGGGAATTTACCCCAATGGTGTCCACGCGAACACCTTTTGTTCCGTGAGAGTCATTCTCAGATGCCGCTTGACAAACACACCCAGGTTCCTTCGAGAAAGGCGAGCAATGGCAGATGGGCATTTGTTTTCTCCAGATGATGCAAGCATCTTGCAGCAGAATGATTAGCGCTTGTTTTGCAGTACACGACAACATTAGTTTTTTGAACTAATATTTAGATGCTGCTGAGGGCACGCTCGGGTGCGCAAGTGTGATGATGAACTAAAATTTAGAGTTGATATTAGATACTCTCAGAAACTCCTGAACACCCGAAGTTGCCGATCGGAAAGCCGGTTATGCGATCTTCCCGATCTTCCGAGTGCAGGAGTGTTCCATGATATGATATGTTTGTATTCTCATGCGCCAACATTTTGGACTGGACAGTGACTTCGGGTGAATTCTGGGTGTCCTTCTGTTTCTGATGCTATCAATGGACTCCAAGAGCAAGACTTGCTTGCAACCGTTGAGTTGAACGGGTGAGTCAACTAATCTCTCTCCGTGGACTGGTTTTTGCACGGTCACGGGTGGAGACATTGAGTTCCCAGATGTTTGGAGACTCCGCGGAGACTCGTCGTCCCTAAGGATTTGGAGATCCAGCCTGACATATTTAGCTTCAACGCTCTCATCAGTTGCTGTGAGAAGGGAGGCCATTGGCAAACGGCCTTAAGCTTCTTTCAATCGATGCTAGAGGCAGCAGTCCAACCCGTGGTCATCAGTTGCCAGGCTTTGCGAAGTTCAATGTAGGAACACTTCTCGGGGCAATAAGGCCTGCAAAGTACGGGTGTTGGCTCTAAGGGATCAGTATACGTGTTAATCATGTGTAGTGCAGACAGGCTTTGGGCCTGATGGAATGTGTGAGGGCTTTTGGAACATGAAGTGTTGATCTTGTTGTTCTGCCATATAGCTGCCAAGCGTGTATTGAAAGCACTTTGTAGGCATGTTGGAACCACTAGTCGATAAATTAATCTCGATTCACAGGTAGCTGAGCTGCAGTTGCCAAAGAGTGGTTGTGAGATTCGTTGATGGTTGGTACCATAGATTGGTACCCAGAAAACCTTGTCCAGTTGACGTAGTTGCCATGAAGAAGGATCCTCTTCTGCGGAATGGCGATTTCATCATATTCCATCGAAACTGGATCAGTACTCGTCGGAGACACCTTGACAGTGCCATCAAAGATCGGTTCGGCGGACGTGGCGGAACTGGTCCTCACACTCGAGGCTATGGTGCTTTGATCAGCGCCTGTGAGAAGGCCTCGCAGTGGGAAAGCGCTTTGCAGCTTTTCGAGGCAATCCCAAAGGCCCAGCTCAGGTGTGCACTGGGTGCGATGAGGAGGGATGGAGCTGGGCTGGAGCTGGGAGCACAGATGGGGTGTTAATCAGAATTGGGGTGGGTGCCTCTCAGTGAAGCCTTTGCACAGACAGCTGGGTGGCTGGGTGCCTCTCAAAATCCTCTCAATGGATCTGTTTTTGTAAAAATGAAGCCATTGATGGACTTACCACTGTTTACAGCATCAACAAGCGGCACAGATTCATCCTTGTATCGCGGGGAACTCAATCACGGGAAAGTTTAGTACAAGCTTACCCACCCTTACTCAAATTGAAAATTGTTCGAACATTAATTATATACATATCGATGTATAATATATATATATATAAACTGAGCAAATCGTCATTGTCAAAGGAACAATCTTTTGCATGAAGGATTCCAGAAGAACATCGCCGGACGCTAGGCCCAGCACCACATCACTGAACGCCGCCATTAGCGCGTGTGCCTGGGACGACCGGAATGGACAGCCGGGCCGACCGTGTCACGGAGGACGTGTGTTTTTGTTGGAGAAGTTCTTTGGTAGCTTTTGGATGTGACAAAGCCTGACATACTCTGTTGGTGAGCTTGCATTTATAAGCAGCGTTCCATGAAACGCGAATGGGTGTGAGAGTACATGTCCTGAGAGGTCAAACAGAAATCTTGGAAGATGTTTTGTGCACATCTATCCACCTAAGTCCCAAGTAAGATGTCCCAACCGCTCATTTATCCTTATTCCACGCTCTTTTTGTGTCGGGTTCCCAACCGGGAATAACCATTGTTTCAGCCACCTGACAAGTTTAGTGATTTAGTGCGAAATTGATATGGGTCTGGGTCAAAACCTGGAGCCCCAAAACCTGAGTTCCTTGATTTCTCCACAAGTACCGCCGAGTTGTTGAGACACCAAGCTGTTTCAAGAGGACAAGAGGAAGGAACTTGTGTTTCCAGAAACCTGAATTCAAGAAAAACAAGCAAACAGGCGTCTCAAGTGACTCCAAATCAACAGCTTATTCCAGACATTCCATCTATTGGGTGTCACAAAAATACCGGTGTTTCTTCCTGTATGAAACGCGATCCTTCTCCTTTCCTCCGGAACCTTTGTCTCTTCAGGTGAGAAGGCCTTCCGATGGCCTGAATCCTTGAGCCTCCTCGTTGGGTCCGCGTCTTCGTCCCACGTGGACCTCATTAGCTTCAACGCGGCCATGAGCGGCTCAGACGTGGCCGTTGGATCCCCAAAGGGCGAAAGAACCGTTGATCATTTGATATCATGGGTCAGAAAGGACATATGACCTTTTTCCGGGCCTTTGTCCAAGCCTAACGAAACCTCCAAAATTTATGTTTATTTTAGTTCTCTTGAGAAACAGGGTTTGATGACGGCTTGCATGTCCACATAGGTCCGTGGTATTTTTGGGAATTGAAGGATTGTTCATCTTAAAGGACCAATCAGAAGAAAGGACAATCTCACCTTTTTATGACTATTTCCTAAGTCCTAGAGCAGCAATTGTGATGTGTTTGATTATATATGTCCTGTTGTTCTGGAAAAACATCCTGTGATGCCCACTTGAATCTGCTTCCAATATCATCGGATGTGCCTGCAAAGCACCAACAAGTGCCCCTAGGCGCCTGTGAGAAGTTCTCCCAGTGGCGCTGGGTCTTGCACCTTTGGAGCCACATCCAAGACACCACTTCCCAGGCGCCAGCGACGCCGAATGCCGAAACATCGAAGACTCGCTCGCTGAAGACTGCCCGGTGGAATGGATGGAAAAGGGTCCTTCGTTCGTCCGGAGCATGTGTTTTGTCTTACCAAACAGTACGTGCTCTCCTTTCCACGGAACCACGTAATCATGATTGCACAGGGGTGTGTCCTGACGACTTATTTCGTCAAATCACCACACCCACGGACGCAGCGCGCGGGCCAGGCCGCTGATCTCGTGAGCTATTGCACTGCCATCAGCACCGCAGCTGCCAGCGGGGGACGTCCGCATTCGTTGCAAATTCGCTTCAGTGGGACGTCGCTGCGAAGAGTTCGTCGATGCTGTCTGACCTCTGAGGCTCGTGTGACAAGACCTCTCACTGGCAGCACGCCTTGCTGCTCTTCATGTTGATGCAGAACGCTCGAATTCAAGCAAGTGATCTCAGCAGCTTGGAGGCATAGCCGGGCAGAGGTGCAAGATGGTGTCCAAAGACTCCAACCATAGACCGAACGAAGCCCTGGTTCCTAGTGGTTTGTCTGGGATCCACTGGGTTTGTGTAAGAACCAACGATTGATTTCTCTTGAGTTTGCTATTTATTCAAATGGCTTGAGAAAGTGAAAGCGCGTATGAGTTTATACAGTGGGAAACACCTTGACGCAGTTGTGTGGAGCCTCCTCCAAGTACACAACAAGCAAGCAGGCTTACCAGCTGTTTTCTCTTTTATATTGAGGCGTTTTTAGTCAGGACCCCTATCTCTGTTTTCACTTGCCTGTTTCCTTGGGAGCTTTAGGAAGCTATACTATGTGTAGAGCCAACTGTCAGTTGTGAGCATGGATGACCTCTAAAAGGTGTGCACTAGCTCAGTTCTTGGAACGGGCTGTTGATTGTTGTTCAATCCATACGGGAAGCATTGTTTTTTCAATCAGGGCAACAGGTGGAGATATCCATTGCTTTTCCCGGTTTATCTAGCAATCTAATATTCTCGACATTTCTCGACATAATGATGCGTTTCACGCAAACTGAGTGTTGTTTCGTTCTGCCTATGCAAGGGGGATATCCGAAAATACATGAAAATACTCGTTTCGTTCTGCAGCATCGGGGAGCCACAAAAATTTGCTCCGCCACATCCGATGAGCGATGGGAGCCACAAAGAGCTGTCAGGACTTGGGCTAAAGCATGCTAAAGCCTGCAGTCTAGCCGATCGGCCCCTCCTCAAAATCGATAACCACATCACCACATCCTCGCATTTGTTGGATATGCATGGATATGCTGAGCTATGTTGACATTGTTGCTAAAACCTGCAAAAGTGAGACGCCCCCCTCGCATGCGATAACCTTGCTGAATCACCCTCTACCTGACAGTAGGTTTTGGCAGACGCTCATGTCATTCCATAGGCCTCAGCGCGACCGTCTCCGCCTGTGCCAAAAGCTCCTTGTTCTCATGAGAGAAGGGTCGTGAGCCAACATAGATTGAACATGATCGAAACATGTCATAAGTCATCCCCTGTTTGTATGGAGTGCTTATGCCAATATGACAGAGTGTTCCAGCTCTCAATGCAACCAAATAAACCAGACACACCCATGCATAGATATAATTAGAGTGTTTCATTTTGAACCTTGGCTGGGTTACTGACAACAAAGTAAATCCTTACAAGCGCCCAAACCAAAGAATTGACACAAATGCCTGCAGCTCTTCTTTGTTCTCTTCACACTACACTCTAGAGTGGGGGGGGGTCTAGAGCACAAGTCTCTTGGAGCTTTTGCGATGATGTTTAGAAGACATAAACAATTGTGGTTTTCCTTTCCATCAGCGTGGATTCCTAGGTAGTGTTCATCCTACAACTATCAATCAGGCTGTGAACAAGTGCCTCTAGCTAACATCATCCTCAAAAGCATTCCAATCAGTCGATCTTACTATCCAGTCGATCTCTCAAGTCGGTGCAGGAATCACAATCCATATTCCCCTCAAGTCGGTCCACGGGCCGTTTTTGGAGCTACAGGGAGTTGCCCAACCACAGCGGACCGTCCAGGAGTGGATCCCAAGTCGGTCCGTTCGATGTTTAACTTTACAATCTTCGCCTTAAGATGGAGCCCCTAGTAGCGTCCTTGCTCCTAGGAGATCACTGGATGAAACATAAACTTAAACAGACCGTTTTCGTGCAGTATGACCATATCACTACCCGTTGGCTCAGATGGATCAATTTCTGTGCGTCTGTGATGTGTATATGATTATATGATGCATCAACGAACCCAACAAAATGGACCAGCAAGTTTCACAAGGCCAGTGAAGGCAGAACAGCCTTGGTCAAGGTTGGCGGGTTGGTCGGTGCAATAATTGTGCTGGAGCGTTTTGACACAGAACAAGTAGATGAACATTAAAAGACACTGAGGCATTATTATACAAGCAATCTGTTAAAGAACCTGAGGTCTTGATTTGTATATAGAGATCTTTTTTAAACATCCGTGGTTGCGTGATATTTTGGTTGAGTGAGATTCCGATGACAGGACCACTTGTCCAACTTGAGCACTGCCTCCATCCGAGGTGGACAGTGGAATGCTCTGAACAGACTGACAGCGCAGGGGCGCGTGAGCTTTTTGCAGCGGAAAAAGAGTTGGATCGAGAACGAGCCGTCCAAACAGATTGGTGGATGACCACGTTGCTGACCACAGCAAGATACCAGAGAAAAGCCATCATTTCTCACAGTGAAACCGTGTCGTTTCTCCAGCAGCTTGAGACGTTCTTCTCCGTCCTTTCCGTCATCCGTCGATCCTGCAGAGGCGGTCATGGACTCAATGGATAAACGAGCTATCAAACAATCAACACGGTTGTTCTTGTGATTTGTCCCGTCACACCAAAATCATCTTCCTCCTTTGGATGGTGTTTTAAATAATTGTTTAAAGACTTCTGGGAGAAAGCCTCCAACTGACTCCAGGTACGTGTGTAGGTGCTCTGACTTCTGCGGTGGTGCCGAACAACCCCCCTGCCTCGCTCCTGGGCTGCCCGGCTCCAGCTCCGGACGTGACGAACGCGGCGCCATTTCGGCTCATCTCAGTTGCTGCCCCCAACAGGATCCAAAAGGGACCGGGTGGGTGCTTTTTTGAGGCCCGGCCCGAAGGAGAACGCGGAGCGGAAGGTTTAACAGAGGGACAGTAGTAGCTGTAGCTCGCTTGCATTGTGAGTCCCTCCAATCCACAGTTTGTTTTTGTTGGAAAGAAGGCAGCTGGCAGAATTGCCCTGCTTGGTGCTCGTTGCACAATGGCATACAAGACTCATGTCAAGCAAAGCAGCATTCGCCGCCACTTGCGACTGCACAGAGTCACTTGTTTGTCGCAGCTTTTTCCAGCTTGCAAAGATGTTTATAGTCTTGGTGGTGCTCCTAGGGCACCACTGGCTTGCGCATGGCGCAAATCAGTGCTTTGCGGATGCGATCCCGGCATTGGAGCGACTTGGTGATTTCGAGCCTTGTAGACGTTGTTGCATTGGCCTTGCGTGCATCACATGTGTTGCTGAGAGTGTTTTCATGCTACGCATGTTTAAGGCAACAGATGTTGAAGTGAACCGGGATATTCGCAGGTAAGTCGGAGGCAACTTGCAATTCCGACTCATGATTCTCTCACAATTCACAGGCTTTGGCCTCCTTCAGAGAGCTCCTCAAAGTCCCGGTCCACCATCGTATCGGCAAAAACAAGGGGTCAGATTATTTCCTGTGGAAAAGAGCTTGTAGCTGATTCAATACTGACTTTAGTGTTAAAAGAGAGTTAATTATCCTGGATCATCCTAGGTCTTAGTATAACATATTCTATTGTGGATTGATTGGTCGACTAGGAGGTTATTCTCGGCTTACTTCAGCTGGACATTTTGTTTGAATGTCTTGGATTTCCACCACCAAATCAGTACACATCGTCATTACTTTCGTCATTGCACATCTTCCCCAGAACATGTGTCGGTTTATGTAATTATACTTATGAGGTTCCTTCAATCTTGAATAGTTTGTTGTTTTCAACCCCATGTTATAGATCTGCATGTCCCATCTCCAAGAACGGGACTTATTCGACTGAAGAATCTTCATCCATTTGGGGAAGGACATGCCTGATTCCCTCATGACCGGAAGGTGTGTGAAGTCTGCAACCCTAAAATTGGTGCAATCACCAAATGTAATCCAAATTTCAAAGGACACAGTGGCCGACCCAAAAATGCATCTATGATTACACAATTTTATTTAAAGCATATATGTATACACGAAAAAAGATAACAACAATCAAAAGGAGCTCACAGACCACCATCCAACTACCGCATGCCGCAAACAAACTTGGTCAAATGAGAGTCAACTGTATGTTTGACAAACCTGTACGATCTTGACTTTCCAAAAATGCTTGAAGTGAGTTGACAGAAATTCTGACCATGAGTGCTCCGCTGACCACGAGTGCTGTAGGCCGAAGGCTATGTGCTCAAGGTGATGAATCGGTTAGGGCCCGAGAACACCGACTTCAGGAAGTAGACTCGTAGGCCCCAGACTTCCCACAGTGGAAGTCGACTTTTATTCCACTTCCTGTACCCAAATATGGGAAAGGTAATGGCACACTCAATTGCTCAAGCAATGTCACTTGTTTGCAAAATGGTTTGGCCTGTCACTGTGTCTATATACATATCATTGGCTAACGTGTTTTTTGCATGGAGCACATGATGGCCTACCATGCAGCAAGTGGATTGCCCTTCTTATCAACACAAAGGTGAATCGACTTGCTGCATGGTAGGCCACAGTTCAATGCATGTTGTACATGTTGCCCAAACATGGCCATGTTGTACATATTGTCCAAAAATGTCAATGTTTTGCATATGGCCCAAATATGGCAATGTTGTGTAATGCTACAAGTTGGCAGATGGTTTACAAGGCAATTGATAGGAACATTGCTAGAAATATACAAGTATAGGAATCATTGGCATGGGTTGGGATGTTTGTGGCACACAGCTAGCAATGTGGCTGCTGGCAAGAACTTGCAAAAAGAACATTCAAAACATTGCCCAAACATGGCTACATTTGCAATTGCCCAAACATGGCCATACAAGAAGCACCTGTGACCATGTGTCTCTTGGACATACTTTTCACTATGTTGTGACAGTTTTTTGTTTGTTTGATTTTTGTTGTTTTTACCAGTGTGCATGCATGTTCATGTCAAATTATTTTGGATATGCATGAGAAATGTTCACTGAAGACGTATCTTGGGCAGTTTTTCATTCATCAAAACATGTTTTCAATCTAGTTTTGAAAGGTATGTGCTAACGATGCTAACTGTTAGCAGTGTTAGCCTGCTAATAATGCTAACGCAATAACATTGTTATTTTTGTTAGCTAAAACAAATAACTGTCAGTAATGTGTACATATATATATATATATACAAATGTTAGCATTGTTCTACCATAGTTGCAACCATGTTACAACCACGTCGGCACCCTGTTTTAACAGGGTGGCTAACTATCATAACCTGCTATAACAAGGCGGGCAATGTAAGTAGTTTAAGGAGTTGGTTCCGTTCATCTACCATGATGTTGACCCACGCCGACTCCACCGAGCCGGTGCCGGGCGAGTTTTCACTCCAGGCGACGTGAGCTGGTGAATGATGGACAAGTCTACCCAGTTGGCCTCTACTTGATCGACTATGCTGCACAACACGCTGCAGCAGAGTTAGTGAACATTTTGCTTCAGGAGAATGGCTCACAGGGGGGCATTTTTGCCTCAGTGTTACGACATGATGTTTTTGGGACGAAGCTTGAAGAATTGCTCCGTGTGCGCTTTTTTTACTGCAACATCAAGCAGCTCGGATACACAAATCCACAGCTGGGTGTGTCATGGCTGCCCAAGAAATATAGAGAATTATGATTGCAGGTTTGCAGGTACATTCAAGTTGATCATCTCTGATAGGGGGTAGACACGAAAAGGATGTTTTGTTCAAATTGGATGTGATTTCATACAGGCGTTCATTAGTGTTTGCAGAAGGGGAATTCACGCTAAACATGTGAGACAAGCTACCACAGCAGAAGTGAACATGATTGACAATCAATCCTTCATGAGGAAGATGCACCAACGATCAATTAAGTTTCCTGTCTGTGGAGTCGTCAGATTCTAAAAGAAAACACCCCCCTTCTCGAACTTTGTTGGGTCATAAATAAAGACACCATTCCATGTTCCATGTTTGTAATCATATATTTGAATGTATCCTGACTTTCCCGCCAAAGATTATCATCTCCCCTAGCGCTCTGCCAGACTTTGCCACCGCAGAGCAGTCAGTTCCACGTGACCCTGTGAATTACCAGCTATGTTTGCGTCATTTTCGCTCAAAGATTCGACCAGTCTACCGGATTTAAACATGCTGCCCCAAAATGGTCAAACGCTCCTAAAGCATCCTGAAGCAAATTCCAGTGCCACAAGCTGAGCAAGGAGAAACTGGGCTATGTGGTGCAGAAGATGGTCAACGGAAGTGCTAGTTTCCATTCATTCTTTGCCTTGGCTGGTTGCACCAGGCCCACGAACTACACGCATCGTGGATGCAGCCAAGACAGCACCACGCGTGCGCATATCAGTGTGGAAGTATGGACTGCAGGTGGGGCACGGTGTGAAGGGGCGAACCGGCGGACAGCAGGCGGATAGGTGTGTTTGCCTAATTCTTCATGTTGGGATGTGAGTGTTTACAAGACTGTTGCGTCTTTTCCGTGGTTAGTGGACATTCTGTTGGGGTTCGCGTGCCCGTGGTTTCATCGCATAATTCCAATCAGGGGTGGGTATTTTTGCCCAGATGCGACTTGATGTTCGGGGTTCGAAATAATGCCGCCGGAATACCTCGAAAGTCATGAGATTTCCAATGTTTGAGGGGTAACATAATTCTGTCCTTTTCAGGCTGAGCTGAAAAAAGGTCATGAATGCAACAAAGAACACCCTTTTGTTTTCAATGAGGCCTCTAGGTACGAGGGAAGTCCATGCCTTTGATGTCTTGCAGGCTATCCTGACGAGTGGCAGTTTTTGCAGCAAGAATACCCATCAGTTGTTCCCAGGACAGCTGTCATGCTTCCACATGACAGGTTAGGTGGGCAGATTCCATCTTGACACAATCCAAGCTGCAGATTCAGGCTCTTCAGGCCAGGGTTGAGGATGTTCTTCCATTTTCTCTAGAACTACCAGAAATCTAACTAGGTTGGTGGCCTAAGTCCAGGCGTCTAGAGGCGGCGAGCCTTGTCTGTGTGTGCACCAGTCGGGTTTGGTAACAAGTTGGATGTGATACTGATGTTGCTTCTGTTTTGGAAATGCCAATGGCAGACTATTGCCACATGGAGAGACCTTGCCACCAAGCACCCAGCATTTGGCCACACCATTTGAAACAGGACAATGCTGACTAGACAAGCTGTCAGGGGGTGAAGACTTGAACTTTTGTATCTTGCTTGCCATCCATAGCTATGTAACTTCTTCCGTCTCGCCTCAAGACGGATGACCTGCCCTCGTTTGGGGGCTTAGCTCGCATGCTCTGGAAAAGATCTAGCGTGTGGACGCGGGCCGGTTTTTGGGTTTTGGTTTTGTGTTCAGCTGATGTCACGAAATCACTTCCGCATGGTAGCGGAGCCTGCCACCTGTGCAGGCTCCAGTAGTGATGGCTTCTAGCTC